AATACCAGTGAGTGGAACTTCAGTAAAACCATTCGGATCTTTGGGTTGTGGTCCACCATTGGGCACAGGGTCCAGGATATGACCCTGCCCCCCCTCGCCGCGGTGTTTGTCGCGGCTCCAGAAAAGCATCATGACACGAGTGATACCGATCAAGGCGATGAACACCCAGAGCAGGAGAATGACAGTGGCAATAATGGCTTCGATACGCACCGCTGCTTCCAATTTGTTGATCACACTGATGACAACTTCGGTAATTTTGTTGGCTGTTTGGTCGCCAGTATCGGCGAGGAAACTGTCGGATGGATTGGAGGTGTCATTAATGCTTGAGGCGGCACCAGCGGAGAATGTGTCATTCGGAAGAGTAGGAAGGGAGATATGTGCGTGCTCAGCGACCCAGTTCAGACCCTTTTGGAGTGCCTCTGCTTTGAGGCCGATGAGGCACTCGTATAGCTCGTAGACAGGTTCTTGTAGAATGGTACCTTTGAAGGTCTCGTTTAGTACGCTGGATGTGTTGTAGATGAAGAAGTTCAGAGTCCCGTTTATGGCGTGCGTGCTGGTATTGACCCAGCCGAAAACATTGTGGTTTAGGTCGGTGTCGAGATTAATGATGGCCTTGTTGGCGTCGGTAGCCCAATCTGTCGAGGCAGTTTCCAGTGCGTCAACGACCTTGTCTGCGAATTCGCCCACTTCAGCACTCAGTGCAGGAACAGTTTGTTTTACTGAGTGCAGCAGAAGGTATTGACACAGGCAGGAGAATAGTGCTGCCAATGCAAGGGCCAGTACGAAAAGAGCAGGGAGGGATGTTGCGTAGGCAATGGCCCATCGAACGAGGATCTGTCGGCGACTGTTACTGAAGTGACTTGCTGCCTTGATACCTGCAGCGGCGGTATATGGCCGTGAGACAATGTAGACAACATCCATTGGATCATGAGCTTCCTTGCGAACTAGCTGGGAGCGCTCTTTCATTGAGCGCCATCGGCGGATTTCCTGCCACGCGATTGGAATACATACCAATATGGCAGCAATGATAAGGACAGCAATGAATATTTTGCGTGCCTTTAGTGTTAGCTCGGTGACACCGTTAAAGAAATCATTGATTCCTTTGTTGTCGTTGCAGAAGGTTAACTGTGTCTTGACAGGGACCGGGAGAGCGGATCGATCAAAGCTGTAAGTGCCCAAAGTGCCGTTGACCAAATCCCTGACTTCTTTGAAGGGCGTTTCGAAGAGGGTCTTTGTGTAATTTTGGATCTCTTTGAAGTTGGGGAGGACGAGGCTGTCCAATTTTTCGACCGTGCGGTTAACCGACGACGGAAGAGACAAATTCTCCAGAGTACTGATTGTACTGTTGAGGTTGATTGGACTAGGATCGTCCGAGAACACGCTAGCCACTTTGTTGATTGTCTCGAGGAATGAGTTCAGTTCGTCTTTGTATTTGTCGACGGTGCTCTCAATGTCGCCACTGATTGCCTTGAGGGTTTTGTTGATCCACTCAGTAGCTTCCTTGATCAATTCGATCCCGGCTCCTACTGTGCCACGGACGGCCATTGTAATAAGACAGGCGTAGGTGGAGTACATCATGTTAATGACAAACCAAAGGATCTCCCCAACGCCCGTGATAGTCATCAACAACACTGACTTCAGGGCAGAAACGGCCTCATCAACCGAGGAAGCCACAAGTTCGTTGGTACCCTTGGATAGATAGTGGGGCATTGAAGCCATGGCGCTACCCATAGATTCCACTGACGTACATGCAGAGAGAGCCTCACGCTTGGCGGATGCCATGTTGGACTGCAAGTCGCCAACTGCAATCAATACTCGGAAGAGAACAAGCAGTAAAAGTATGGTCCATCGATTGATCCATACTTGTGAAAGTCGAGCTCGTAGACCGAGATAGGGAGTGAGGCCATCTGGATGTAGGGGAATTATCCGCCCCGTGCTTGAATCATGAGCTCCATAAGGCGGGAGTAGTGGAAAGACCGATCGCCCAGATCGGGTGAATACCATTGTAGCGATTCTTTTGCTCGAAAGCGATGGTTGTCGAATGTTCCAGGTGTGATCTCGTCCAGCGAAGACCAGGAATGCTTGGAGGCGTAATTAAATCAAGGAAAAATATGCAGAGCCTGCAGCAAGGTGGAGAGTTCTTAAAAAGAGGATAAAGAGAGCAAAAGAAAAGTCCGGACTAGCGGAGGGACATGGTTGTGTATGATTTCTTATAGATGTTGAATGAATGGGGGGATCAATAGATGAATAGACCGGGACAGAGGACAATAGAATCAAAATAAAACAAGGGACAATGAATCTTCAAATACACTAGCCTACAAACGTCACCTAAAAATTGTCAGACATCCTGGGCGGCAGCAGACATATCAATAGCCCAATATTGCTCATAAAGAAGCAGTTTGATGGACCTTGGCAACCCCGTATAGTCGAGACAGCCCCAATCAGAGTGAACCATAACCATCTCGAAACAAAGAAAATATAAAAATAAAGCCTGAAGACAAGGAGCCTGTGTAATGGGTTGTTTCATGAAGCATCAGAGCATCTAACTGGCTACTGTATGTGTCAAAAGCGCCGAAGTGGACAATCAGCCAAATATAGCCACCATGGGCGCTTAGCCGCCCACCACTGAGAGCCAATAGCCGGACAGAGAGGGCTGGTTGATCTAACATCATGCTTGTGCAGATTTTTGGTTCCGTGTCATGCGCATAGACTACAGCAATGTTGTTTGACATCTGGGGGTTAGTCTTTGTTTTTGGCTGTTGCCGCTTAACTCGAGTGTTCCAGTCTGTGAATCGATTCACCGAAGATCGCACTCGAGTGCAGAGCAAAATTTCCACGAACGCAACTTTGAGTAATAGAAAGATGACTTATCAAATTGAAATATATTCCATCATAATCATAGGTTATTTAGTAAGTCCGCTAAAGGGTGGAGTGCGTGAAAAAAGTACTTGATGCTTATTCGAGACGTGGTGGCCAGCGCCGAATGAGGAGTATCACGTGAAATGCACGGGATCAGTGCGAAACGTGACCACACGTGACCAAGTCGCACCCTAACAATTTGCAACTACATGTCTTGAATTATACGACAAGAAGACGATCAGTTTCCCAATTAACTCCGTGTGTTGTGCTAATTCATGGAACTCTACGGGACTATGACTACTCCAATGGACTTTTTGTAGTATCTCTTTTAGGTAAATTACTTCAGGTGTGTTTTTCTGGAACTTCTACGTAAAGAAGATTGATATAAAGCAACAATTTCCTTCAATATGAGACCATACTCCTGAGTCTAGAGCTAAGTAATATTAAAACTAGCTGAAGAAAAGGCCTGTTGGAAATGCCACTCCTGTTGACGCGGCTTTCTTCAGGTCTCCATATCAGTTCTGTCGCTTGATCTTTGATGTAGTTTGGCGGCGAGCAGAAGTGTTGAGCAGAGACCGGTCCTGCCGTAGCTCTACAGATGCCAAGTATTGGTAACTCGGATGTTGTGGAAGAAATATGAGGCCGACATCATGGTAGGTTTTAGGTATTTGCGTTGGAGTGAGAAGTAGGTCGTATGTATCATCGTCTTCGTATTTCTAATTGTATGCCATGGCGTTTGCTGAATACGGATACTCCGTCTCATGTATTGATTCTCTGAGTATGGAATTCAAGGGAAGCTTCCGTCCCAGAGAAACCCCCAAGGTTAAACTTGAGACTCTTTGTCAAGTAAGCGGGACTGTAACCACAACTTGACGATAACCATAAACCCACAGTCCCGACAGATCTCATCAAACCTCATTCATACCTCAATCCTTCTCAGCAATAAGGTAGCTGAAAAAGAGAAATGTAAGTATCTTCATTCCTGTCACATTCTCCCGGCCAGTCGCAACTTCCGATCGAAGACTCTGTGGAGGTAGCACGTGCACAGTCTGTTTGTCTCCTCCATTGTTGTCGAACTTCGATGCTTATTGATGCTTATCGATGCTTATCGGCTCTTGTCCTTTCTTATTGTCGTCCTTTGTCTCCATCTCGTTCTCTTCCCAGTTTCCTTTCTTTCAAACATCTCCCCGCACACTCAATAGCTTTGGCTCGTACATCTCACTTTTCATCTCTTTGACTGACCAAAGCCATTGTCCAAAGAGCAAAAGCATGTTTCACCACATGGTGCATGTCATAGACGCATGATCCAAGCTTTGAAACCTCACACAGTAAGTTGTGACACAACTTCACGCGTTGGGTCATCCCAGATGTCCATGGACCTTGGCTGATGGATGAATCAAGACAGCAGCCACAAGTGTAAGACACTTGCCCCGGTTTTAAGTGTCCCAAGGACAAGTCAATTGGGCGAAGTCGTGTCTGCTATCGTTCTGTTGACTGATGCATAGCCGGGGCAGTACCCAAAACCTCCTGCGTAAGATCAAATCTCACAGCTTCCAGTATCCCAAGGACTTCTTGATAAGTCATTTGCCTTGAAGCGGTATCACTTCTCGTTCTGTTGACTAGCACGTATTCGGAGCAGTGCACACAACCTGTTGCATAAGACCAAAGCTAACAGCTTGTCACTATATTGAAGGCCGGTTGTGGTAAGTCGTTTCTTGTGAAGAGAGATGACCCATCGTGCATTTGACTGATGTATCCTGCAGCGAAATATCTTCTTTGAATACCTCAAGAGCAATCTTAGGCCAAAGAGAGCCCTGTGCTGACCGAGGAGTACATGGTAAACTCTTCATACATCCATTGATGAGCTTCAACTGACACATCAAAAGCTCAGTGTGCAGTAAGAAGCTGCTGTAGGCTTTTGCCTAATATCAAGTGAGTCTTCTTGGGAACCATTGTATCGGATATCCATTAACCTCAGCTAATGAATAGTCAGCTTGGTTCCCATACTCGACAGAGAACATCTAATACCTCTTTCTTATTTCCACTTGGTATGTATTCCAAATCCGAAGAAAAGCATAACTCGATAGAGAGTTACTAACAGACGATATGAATCCAACAGTTCACCACCGTCATCATCCAAAATGCCTACCATCTTGAGCAAGTTCGCCGATGGCAAGATTCTCCCGCATGATCCCCAACCTGCCTCTGAACAGGGACCCGACGCAAAGTCGGAAGTACACACCCGGCTGCCCAGCTCTGATGAGCCTCCGATAAGCCACGCTGAGATGAAACAGGTTAAGACACCCGAAGATGAGCTCAAAGCTCAGCTATGCCTTGAAAAGGCCGAGTACTCCGCCACAAATCAGTATACAACTCGCGAAACGCGAGCGCCAGAACTGCTTAACCCTGCCTTGACCAGTCCTGAGATGGCGTTGCCCGAGTCAAGCCAATCCGCAGAGGAACAGCCCAACATGACTCAGTCTAAGTCAGATGATTGGAATGATAAAAAGGCCGGGCTCACTCTGGGAAATGGCCAGTTGAGGCTGAAGATTGAGAACTGGAAGACCCCTGGCCCAACATTTGCCGTTGAGAATAATCCCAAGGGCAACCCCAAGTGCAACCTTCATGGGGTTGTTGAAGGCCCCAAGTTGGTATACATTGACTTCACGATTCCCACCAATCACCCAGGTGGCATGTTGGGGGTCATGCAATCGATTGAAGCACTCTTCATGTTCCCAAAGAAGATTGCCATGAGAAACGTCGAGACAGGTTCTGCAGCGGCTGATCGAGAGTCGAATGACCCAAAGAGAGAGAGCCATTACATCGACTGGACAACCCAATGGGACACATGCGGTTGTCGAGTAAACTGGATGAAGGCGAAAGAAAGATCGCCAATCATCAAGTTCAAATTCGTCAGTGGACGGAATGCGAAACGCGAGGAGCAGATGATAGTCACTGTTGATGAGCGTGATGCGTTTTACCAGATGATCTCTAAGAAAGACCCTGTCAGTATACAAGCTTCGCCATCATTTTTGGAATTTAGCTAACATATCATAGAACACTTACGGCCAATACATGGCACTTCCGGTCCGGATTTGGCTGCGCATTCAATGGATGATTGCAGAGACTGGCGACGTTGGCGACAGCAAACTGTTTGGAAAGTTGATTGCCGATCAAATTCCCCTTTTTTCAAGGAATAATAAAGGGGGAATGGCATCAAAGAACATGCCAGACAGTGTCCAAGAATCTTCTAGAGTTGAAGGAAGTTCTCAGGACGAAAAGTCAGATGCGTCAGTCATGCCAAGCACACAGCAGTCAGTGTTAGGGCAAGAACATACGATGGAGACAACGGGAAGTCAAGAGTTGACCGAGGAAGAGTTGCTTCATGAAGAGTTGGCCGAGAAAGTGTTGACCCAGGAAGATCATGAGTCTACCCTGAAAGGGTTGACCAAGAGGGTTTCAACGCTCACTATTGATACCCAGAAGAGCAACAAAAGGTCAAAGGGCAAGGGCAAGGGTAAGGGCAAGCGCACGCCTGGTTCGTCTGGGTCCAACTCAGGAAAGAAGGACGCAGACCATGTCACCGATCGCATCACAGACTACGTTACAGAACGTGATGACCAACGTGATCACAACCAGCGTGGTGACTTACTTTCGGGAGTGCATGACATCGCTCGACAGGATGTCCTGACTGAGCAGCAACTTGCGGCAGTTGCTGGCCAACAAACAGTCGATGCACCCCGATCCCCTATTACCCCCATCACCCCCATCACCCCCAATGACTTGACTGCCCCGTTTTCTTCATCATTCGAGACAGCCCGAACCCACCTCTCCCCCCACACTCCCCTCCCTTCATCCTCACTTTCATCTTTCTTCACACCTATGAGCACCTCATGGAAGAAAGAGGATGAGGGGGAAGGGGGAGTGCAAGCGGAAAAAAATGAGCCAGCAGAGGCTTCAGATGAGCCGTGCTTTACTCCGCGGGCGGATGAGGTTGGGCTTCGGTGCCCTGTCTCGGACAACAGGAATGAGGTGTGGTTTTCAGGTAATCTACTTACCCTTGATGTCATTATTGATGCACCTGCTAACTATTATTTAGACCCTGAAGAGTACCTTGGCGGCCACGAGGTGCAGGAGCCAGTCGTGCGTCGACGTCAGTCCTTTGATGTGGCCAGTCTAGGTATGGAATCACATTTTACTTATGTTCTGCTTTGAATATAGCTGACAAAAGAACCATAGGGCTCTTTAGGGACCAGGAAACCATATCCTCGTCTCCAACGGCCGACCCTCGATCGCCCTCCCGTACCTCTTCCGCCTCATCCACCACAGACTCGGCTGGATTTGGGACAGATGATCCCAGTTCAGATGGCGCCGCTCAGTCAGGTGACCAAAGTCCAGCTGAGTCTAGCCCGTGTGGTAGGAAGAGTGTATACAAACAGAGGAGGCATAACAAACGGAGGCGCAGGCAGTCGACGAAGCGTCAGCAAGAGCGCAGCGCGGACGTCGAGCGCACCGTTTCTAGTGCTTCCTCTCAGGGTGATATAGTGGAAGGTCGTTCTCCGTCTCCACCCGAGTCGTTTGAGGATGATGAACCGACTCCCACAGCCAAGCAGTTCGGCAACATCGGGGCCCCACCCCCTGAAGTACAGATGGACTTTCCCAGACTCGGCATTGTCTGCGAGGAGAAAGACTGCCAAGTCCTCTGTACTTTGGGGGATGGGGTCTCCGTTGTTTGCCCTAAGTGCGGACCGTTTTCCTTGGTCCGCTACTGCAGAAAGAACCACCTGTGGGAGGATGCCAAGAGGCACTGGCTGAATTGCACGATGCAGCCAGTCCTGGAGCAACACTTGGCCGGTTTGATTTCGTACGACGATCTCGTGGGTCCACCAATGCTTCCCAGCCTTCACCAGTGGGACAGCCCTGAACGCCATCGTCAGGCGCTGTGGTTCAGCTCCGCCCGCGACCAAGGTGATTACTTTGTGTTTGCGGAGCTGGACACCCCGGTGAATGCTGCGGACGCTCCAGCCAGTCACACAGGGCGTGGATGTTCACCTCGAATCGCACACATTGTGCGATTCGAGGACGCCGAAGAGAAGGACCGGTTCCGCCGGTGCCTAGCAATTTGTCTCTTCAGTAAGTTTTATATCACTTTCACTTTCCTTACACTTCCAGCTTCATTTCACTTTCAGTTCCCTTGCATTTTGATATCTTATAACCCTCACAATTGCCTACCTTTTAGACCATACGTTAACTCTTCTTTTCTTCCAGCGGCGGTTGAACATCCAGCCCTCGTGGACTATCTTTACCGGCTTGTCCGGGACTGGATGCGGGCTCACAACATGTGGGCCAGTGACAAGGACATGGACAGCATGCTGCGCTGCCAGATGGGACTCGAGATGGGTGGCACCATCGATAAGAGCCGTCTTGGCTTGCGGCATGCTTGTGAGACGGAGTGGGTCGGTGCTGACCGGCGCCACTGCGAGGATCTGACCTGCGCGAGCGAGCGTCGCCCCACGTTGCTCGGTAACCATCGTATGGGGTTGGGCTTCCGGAGAGTGTGCGAAGCCCTCGAATCCAACTATTGGATTCTGAGGGCGCACCGAGCCACCCATCCTTCGGTGAGCGACGTGGTGGCTCGCACGTGCGGGGCAGGTTTCTCGGAGGTCCTTTCAATGGACCGGCGGTTATTCTACCGTGGTGTCGGTTGGGACGGGGCGGGAACGGGCCCCATGGAGTTGGAGATGCCGTGGTCAGGGTAGGGAGCCGTCCCCTCCCTAGCCCTAATTCTTTGTACCGGGGTCCTGGACCTGGGGTGGCTGGTTTGGAGAGAGATATGATCAGCGCGAATTCGGTGGATGCCCCAGGTCCAGGATGCCCATTTATGTATTACGCTTTCGGTGGTGGCGGCGGTTTGGAGGGGGAGTTGATCACCCCCTCCTTTGTTTAGAGAAACAAAGACCGTCGCGTGGTTATGCGCTTGTCCTAATGTGCGTGTTTCATTGTTCGTAGGTGCTGTAAGTTAGGTAGGAGTAGCTGTACATGAGTATACTAGTAGATTAATCATGTAAGGGAATATGGATATAAGGAGAATTGGTTTTGCTGGCACGTATCTTGCATCTTTATATCCAATTTTCCATTGGAATCGTAACACTTCTATGCATATCTAGTCACTTCTCACACATCAAAGCCCTGTATGTCTTTGTTTACTGGGTGATATACTTCTTCAGGCCCCTCAAGCGCTCCTTGGCAGTCTCAAGAACATCATCATTCTTACACACCGCAAAGCGGAGATAATCCTCAGCAATGTGGGTGTTGGCATCGGTATAGAATTCAGTGGGAGGGATAGCAGCCACGCCAACCTCATGGATGAGGAACCAGCAGAGCTTGAAATCACGAGGACGGCTAGCAACATGGGGTGGGAAGGGATAGTCAGCCGGGAGCTTTACAGATGCCATGTTGACAAGTACAAAGTATCCACCCTCAGGATCAGAGTACTGTAGAGATTGAAGTCAGCAAAATTAATATATGGCAAAGTATACTTGATAGATGGGGGCATAGTAATCGCATACCGGGATACCAAGCTCATCAAAGACCTCGCAGAACCGCTCAATTTTACCCTTCATGTCTGTGCGGCTCTCGTCCCAGAAGCCCTCTTTCTCTGCCTGCTCGAAAGCAACAGCAGCGGCTTCCTGGAGAGGAGACACACTGCTGTAACAGATACGGGTGTGCGCACCGGCCACGTACTTGATCAGGTGTTCAGGGCCGATGAGGTACCCAACACGCCAACCAGTGGCGTAGAACGCCTTGCCGGCGGAACCCACGGTCAAAGTGCGCTCGTACAGCTCTGGGGACAGAGTAGCGATTCTAGTGTAGGGAACGTAGAAGAGGCGGTCGTAGACCTCATCAGACAAGATGATAAGGTTGTACTTGATACATAGTTCACCAATGCGCTCGAGCTCCTCGCGCGAGAAGACCTTGCCGACGGGGTTGTGCCTAATATGCTGTTAGTTGAGACTTCATTTGTCTAATCAAGGCTCCTTACGGTGAGTTCAAGACCTGCTACAGTTAGCTTGAATATCCATGAAAACCTTGGGGTTGTATGCTTACAATCATCTTTGTCTTAGAGTTCATGGCACCCTCGAGCTCCTCAAAGTTAATAGTCCACTCCGATGCAGGAGAGGTCTTGGTGGCACCATCCTTGGGCGGGTGGAGAGGAACATAGCGGATAGTACCGCCGGGCATCTCAATGTTGCTAATATATCTATTCCGCGCGAGTTAGTATCGCCTGAATCCTCTCACAATATCGGGGCTCCTTACTGGTCAAAGAAGGGCTCGAAGATAATGACCTCATCACCATCCTCGATGAAGCCCATGAAGGCACTGAGCATGCCTTTTTTGTTTGTCACCTGTCAGCGCCAAATATCCATTTGTGCGTAAATCATACTGATATCCCACCTTCATTTGCGCCAGTTGTGATCGAGACCTCGGTCTCGGGGTTTATCTTCTTGCCAAAGAAGGGCGAGTAAGCATCTGCGATAGCCTGTCTGAGGCGGGGGCGACCCTATATTGTATGAGTACTTGTGTAACCATGCGCAGATTCATTGGCGTCCTCTACCTTTGTCGGAGAGTATTGGTTGCATTCCACTCGGTCGAGCGCATCCTTTGCAGCATCAAGAGCAAACTTGGGAGGGTTATAACCACTGCACAGAAAATTTGCTCGTCAATACCTATCTCTTGAAGTAATTTGGGGTCGAGATAGGTGACTCACAAGAACCCTTGGCCCATGTTCACGATCGGCTGAACTGGCGAAGCTGCGGCCGCTTCGTTGACGATTGACCTTGAATCCCAATTAGTATATGATTCCCAACTTGTTTCCCGGAACTGCATACCAGACATCCTGGCGCTGTCCTGCCACCCGCTTGGCGGGGCGAAATGGATCGGGTCGCGAAGCTGTAGCTGACATCGCTCTTGCGCTGTAACTAGGTCGGGGTAATTTCGAAGGGGAGAATAGGTTTCTAGACCTGCAATTCTGTGATTGAGCAAGTATATGGCGATAAGAGCGGGAAAACATGAGTATCGAAGAAAGTAAGAAGAGGAAGGTCACTATGTGGAGGAGTTAGATTTCCCCACCATGGCGTGCTCCGCATTCGGCTTTGACGGCTCTAGGGACTTGGACCAGCTTGTTTATTGATTTTGCTCGGGTCATTCGGAGACTATATAGTACTTACAAGTACTTATATCTATATATATAAATATTATTTGTGCATTTAGGTAGTGGATCCTGTTGTTTGCTCATTTTCAGGCATCAAGGCTTGCTACTTACTAATTAACGCGTTGAACGCGTCGCACCCACGGGTGGACGTTATCATTTCTTCGTTTACCTCACCTTGAAGTTTTTGAGTAACCTAGTGAATGACCAGATCATTCTCCGGTCATCATGGTTTCCTGCCCAATATGCGAACAATCTGTCTCCCAGTTGAAGATTAACGACCACATCGACTCGGGCTGCCAGAGCTTCATCGAAGAATCGTCGTCCTCTCCAGGGGAACTGGTATCCTCCCAGAAGGGACCAGTCCCTAGCATGTTCCAACCCCCATCCGCGCGCAAAGCTGCTGCCCAATCGAATATTTCGAAGGAGTCCCCGTCTCGTCCCACCACGACTCCACGCGCTCTCAACGGCAAGCGATCATTTCTCGAGGAAGACGAATCTATGAGGGAGCGAGATGGGCCAATGCAACAAAAGGGTGACTCCAAAGAGCTACAAGCAAAACGTCCGAAGATCAACGCCTTCCACAAAGCAGCACCTCTAGCGGAGCGTATGCGACCTAAAACACTGGAGGAAGTATGCGGCCAAGAACTTGTCGGACCAAACGGCGTCCTGCGCGGACTCATCGAACAAGACAGAGTACCGAGTATGATACTGTGGGGCAGCGCAGGGACAGGGAAAACAACAATCGCTCGGGTCATTTCGTCACTGGTGGGCAGCAGATTCGTGGAAATCAACAGCACCAGCAGCGGCGTGGCAGAGTGCAAGAAGATATTTGCCGAAGCTCGCAGTGAGCTAGGGCTCACTGGGAGAAAAACAATTATATTCTGTGACGAGATCCACCGATTCTCCAAGTCACAACAGGATGTTTTCTTGGGCCCGGTGGAGAGCGGCCAGGTCACACTCATCGGTGCCACAACCGAGAACCCGTCGTTCAAGGTCCAAAATGCACTGCTCTCACGATGCCGGACATTTACTCTTGCGAAGCTCACCGATGAGGATATCATTTCGATCCTTCATCGTGCCCTCCGGGTTGAAGGCCCAAGTTATTCGCCCTCCGAACTGGTGGACGAAGAGCTGGTTCAGTATCTCGCTAGATTCTCCGATGGAGATGCTCGCACTTCGCTGAATTTGTTGGAGTTAGCCATGGATCTGTCAAAAAGGCCTGGGATGGACAAAGATGATCTAAAACGATCTCTGACCAAGACGCTCGTGTATGACCGTGCTGGAGATCAGCATTATGACACGATCTCTGCCTTTCACAAGTCCATTCGAGGAAGTGATCCAGATGCAGCGCTCTACTACCTTGCTCGCATGATTCAGTCGGGTGAAGACCCGCTGTATATCTCTCGACGGCTGATCGTTGTCGCTTCCGAAGACATTGGCCTGGCTGACAACACCATGCTGTCACTTGCTATATCGACACATTCAGCCGTTGAGAAGATTGGACTCCCAGAAGCACGAATCAATTTGGCACACGCTACCGTGGCGATGGCGCTGTCAAAAAAGAGTACTCGCGCGTACCGTGGCTTGAATAACGTTAATGCCGCCTTGAACGAGCCAGGAATTGCGGGCTTGCCCATTCCTGTTCATTTGAGGAATGCGCCAACGAAGCTCATGAAGGAGCTGGGCTATGGTGCAGAGTACAAGTACAACCCAAACTATGTCGACGGCAAGGTCCAGCAGGATTACCTACCAGAGCAACTCCTCGGTCGTACCTTCCTGGAGGACTTGGATCTGGGTACGCGGAAAGACCGTGATTTGTACAGTACTTGATGTCAAAGAAGTCGATTGTCTTCACTGTCTGATCTCTTCTTTACTTCCTATACCCTACCCATTGATGGAAATATGACATGGCGGCATTCATACTTCTACCGCCCCTGAACCACGGGAACTCCACGCACTAGGTGAACCTTATACCTAACCATGCGCTTTACCGGATTAGGAATCGGCCTCATGGGCCTGGTCGTGCCTGCTTCGCCTCAAGTGACTCCGTTATGCCTTGCTATGATGTCGAAGCTTCAGCTAAGCTTCAGCCTTGTTATAGACGGTGCTACTAGTCCGTTTTAGGCAACTTTCGAGGTGCCCAGGTGTATCTACTACTTCCATCTTTACTTTGCACCACCCATTCTTCTCGTTCTCTACCTTCGCAAAGGATCGACAACTTGTTCAAGCACAGAGAGTCAGTCTGTTATTAGGCTCCGACCTATGCACATCCTTTCGCTCTCGCTCCTTGCTTGAACATCTTTCCAAATCTCGATCATTCCCATTCCTCTCGTTTATCCTCGAAACCATGATAGCGCAAGCTGCTGCTACACGACATCAACCGTCTCCATTCTCTACTTATCCGAACCACGGGCGTAAATGTGCACCGCATGCTCCGCGTACACCGGTCTCCATCTATCCTGTGAGCTCTATCCATATCTCATCTTGCCCTCCTACATCCCTGTGGTTTTCGTTTTAGGCTTGCACGTCTCGTGAATTCTTGACACTGACTATTCAGTCTCCCATGTCTTCACTCGCATCAACTATGCCTTACTTTTCTGATCCTAATATCGAACATGCCATGCCACAGAGGTGGCAATCATTGTCGACGACAGCCATAGCACATGAAGCCCAGCCCATAGATCCAGACATACTGCAAATGGTCAACGAGCTCAACAATGATCCGATAGGCAGCCAGCTTCAGCAGCTTGGCAGTCTACCTCAGGAGCTCGGTGTTATTAGCGGGCCAGTTCGTTTTCATTCGATTATGACACCTTCCACATTTGAAGATCAACTACAAAACGATCAACTACAAATGTCCTTATCTCCCAGAAGCTTGAAATCTCAACCCTCGACGTGGCCTTCCAGCACCAATGATTCTTGGTCATCCGTCTCGCCTGAAGATGACCGCGGTGAAACCCAGCTATATGCTGGGCCAGTACATCCTTCTCCGTATCTCAAAGAGCTTTATCCCGATGGATTTATCTTCTGGGACCCGGCGGACCCTGCGAAGTCTGACAAAATCCACGAAAAAATCCTCCTTACCCAGGCCGAACTTGAGCAACAGAGAGAAGACACCGCTGCACTTAAGAGAGCTGGTGGCTCATGTATGGTGTGCTATCGGGCCAAGAAGAAGTGTGGAATAACTACACCATGTCCTCCATGCTCTTCTAAGGGTAATCGAATCTGCTTTCGAAGTTGGGGAGATTTGTGCCTGATTGGCCCGCCTACGGGGAACTCTCTTACTATCCTTAGTTTTCCATCCCAAGAGGCGAAAGATAATTTACAACGTATGAGTGAGGAGGTCTTCAATCGCATGAATGCATTCAAAGCGGTTGTCAATATCCGCGAAACATATGGCGGAAACTGCACTGCATGGCATTGGACAGTAACGGGGTCCAGTATCACACTATCGAGTAAAGCAGAGTGTCCTGTCGATGATTTTCTTACTGGGGTTACTAGTGCCCTCCCCCTCGTGGATCTGGTCAAATTTGGAGATCTATACAAACACAGCGAACTCGTCTGGACTGCACTCGGAATGGCGAAGCTGTTTATGGCCATCCAAGGCCTGGCGGACGCTCGAATTCGTACGTCCTGGTTTGAAACTACCCCGGGGCGCCTCGTCTTATTTTATATTTTGATTCTCTCTTTTCGAAAGCTCGCACAAATGTCCCAGGACTTTTGCCCTGGTTTATACATTGCTCTGTGTGGAAAGGCCAAGCAGAACAACAAAAACCGGTCACGGAAAGAAAATGAGGTCGATCCCGCTTGGATCGCGGCGGCATTATATTACCGAGTTGTGTGCGGCTTGCAAGATCTTCAAAAGAACGCAGCCGTTGCGAGAATATTTGGCCCCTTTATCTGTTATCTGACTGGCGTTCGCGAAAAACTCGAAGATATCCTGCGCCATGTGTCTCCCAAACACGGGGCTACAGGCAAATCATCCTGTAGAGCGATTCTTGGGGATGTAGTTCCCAGCTTCCCGTCATCTCCAGACGTGGATATGGCTTTCTGGCTCGCAGACTCCGAGGAAATGTCGTCTTCTGTTTTTCGCCGGCAAGACAGTCCCTTTTCGCCGCCAGCCTGCAAAATGCACGCGTTCTTGGCTGATCATTTCCCTCGGCCTGGACATATGGTGAATCATGTTGAGCCGCACGATGGGGTCTTGCAATCATCGGCGACTTCTCACAATACGATGATTACTGAAGAACATAATCCCGTTGATGACTTGCCCTTTATTGATCAAATTGAACCCTTTGACTCGAATGGTCTGTTGATGTTCAGCAACGAGTATGACAATCCATTCGACCCGATGGCTGCGACCTTGGTTGATACGATGCCACTCGATACTCCAATGCCACTCTATGGCAATTTCCGACAATCCCTGTACAATTGTTGAAGGCTTCCACATCAACATTCGCTCACCACTCTTAATTTTTGTTACAAGTTATCCATGGGAGGAACATACGACACTCGTTTGAAGAAAATGTTAGCTGCTGGACAGGAAGCGAAGTTTTTTTATGGATTGGGACAGATGTCTAATAGCTTGTGATTAGCACCAGGTAGTGCTGTGTCTAGAAGTTCGCTCACTCGCTCTTCCTTCTAGCACAATATAATAAAATCGAATCCTAAATTATCGAAAAGTAACAAAAAGTAATAATTTGGTTGATGTCTATATCTGCAACAAAACCAAAACAGCGAGGCGTTGTCATTCCGCCCGCGTCTGGCGCGTATCCAGAATCCTCCCACCGCCAAACACCTCCGTCTCTCCACGCATTCTCATGGGCTACGAGCCCCTCTCCAATCAATGCTGAAGAACTCTTAATCCAGCCATCTAATTAAACCTGAACACGCCATTCACCATGGCCTCTGGCCAACCCTTCGCGTCGCGCTCTTACGCCGGCACGAAACTCCCAGAACGCTCGGTAAACCCGAACGCAATGCCCTTCAGCGCCTCATCATTCTCACGGCATCGCGGTCTGGGAAACGCCAACCAAGGTGACTTCAACGGGCCCGATGCCCAAAAGCAGATGCAACAGTCTGCGCCCGCGCCCGCAACAAACGCGCAGTCCCATGGTCCAGCGCAGGACGCGAATCCGTTGAACAGGCTGACGGAAGAGCAGAGGGAAGAGATTAACGAAGCTGTAAGGGATACCCCAATCCATCTATGACATTACAATTCTCCCCAATTACTGTACCCTCCTGAAACCCCACCTCTCCCCCTCTCTCATTTCCCTCCACGAGTGCAAAGGAAACGAAAAACACAACCCATCCAAAATCCACCAGCTAACCAACCCCCTCCAAAAGTTCACCCTTTTCGACCTAGACCGCGACCGCCACCTGGACTACCACGAACTCCGCGTCGCCTTCCGCGCGCTGGGCTTCACCCTCGGCAAGCAAGAACTAATCTCACTTCTAACAACCTACGGCGTTCCCCGTCCACAAGTGCAACAACAACAACAAGCCGCCGGTAACCAACACGGCCCGGGTCAACCGCTCACCTCAAACAAAGGGCCTGTCTCGAACCCGCAGCACCCGTCCAACCTGCTCATGCCGCTCTCTTCATTCCAGGCTGTCACGGCGCTGAAGATTCTCGAGCGGGACCCGCGCGACGAGATCCTGCGTGCGTTCGAGTTGTTCGATGAGGGTTCTAAGGGGTTCATTGATCTTGAGGATTTGAGACGTGTTGCGAGGGAATTGGGGGAGACCGGGCTTGAGGAGGAGGAGCTTAGGGCTATGATTGAGGAGTTTGATCTTGAGGGTGTTGGTGGTGTTACGAGGGAGGCTTTTGTTGGGATTTGTTGGCAATGAGTTGCTAAATAAGCAGGTGGGATTATTGGTCACCGTTGCCTGGGACTTGGATAGGTTTGATTCTCTCTAGGAGACTAGGACTTGACTGAGGGTTGATTATTTGTTGTGCATGGGGGTTTTTCCCTCGGTGTTGGGATTTGAGTACTTTTCTTGTGTCTCTTGTCGTTTTACTTATGCTTGTTTTGGGAGTAAGTGCCTGTTTTGTGTTTACTTTGGGTTAAAATCACACTTCAAATGGATATTCATTCCTCTATACGATATCTACATCTACGCGCTGAGCATACTTGCAAGATGGAGATGCGGTATCATTCATAGCCTAAAGGGCTTCGACGTATCTACTCACGAAAAAAAAATGCATACAAAATTCAATAAGACAGTAGCCACAAGAAAGAAAGCCCAAACCCCCAGATCGCGGATGATAGCATACTATGAGGACCGATAAAACATGTAATCATCCACGATGACGCCGATACCCAAATCCCACCGCAAATCCCAGAGGCACGGATGCAAACATGACCAGGTCCAATGGAACCCATAAACTAGAATAAAACCAGAAGCAAAGGGGGGTAATCATGAGTATCGTGGCGGGGGGCCAGGGGGAGGAGGCACATTCTGGTATCCGGCATAGGGAGGCATATTCTGATATCCGGCATTGCGGTATCCATGCCACTGGTCCATAGGCTGGCGAGAACTGGGCTGGGGCCCGTTGTAGCGGCGATATGTACCCGGGGGAATAGCCTTGCGGGCCTTCCGTAGCTGTGCACTGCGCTTGCAGCGACTATAGATACAGAAGAAGATAGCGAGTAGGATGAATGTGCCGACGCCGACACAGACACCGATAACCAGCTTCTCGTGCTGACGGATCCAGCCCAGGGCCGAGGAGCCCTTACATTGACCTGCGCTGCAGCGACCACCCGACTCACAGGGTGTACCGTCGAGGTAGTTCTGGTTCATACTAATACACTCCTGGACACCGATTGAGTGTTGGAGTGATGGTGCACCGCAGACAAGACTGCAGGAGGGACTATTTGTGTTTTCGCAGGCCCAGGTGTCATTGGTGTTCAGCAGGGAGCCTATCACCGTGCGACACTGGTAGTCGCGACTTGTGCATTGGCCGCTGGCGCAGCTGAGTTTCTGGTTCTTGTCGCCGCAGCTGGAACCGTCGTCTTTGTATTTGTTGTCGGGACAGGAGCTCGACGTTCCGCTGCAGGTCTCGGCGATGTCGCATTCGCCGGTGCTGGCGCGACAGACGGTGTCGGCGGAGGCGAACTGGCATTTGCTGCAGCAGCTGTCGTTCGAGTCGTCGCAGACGGCACTGTCTTTGAATTTGCAGGTCTTGGAATCGCAGCAGGAGTTGTCGCTGCAGCTTTCTTCGTCGCCACAGTCGCATTCCTCGTCGCCTTCGACGATGCCGTTGCCGCATTGACTGCCGCTGATTGTCACGACGCCGCGGTTGTCCGATAGACAAGAGGACTTGATGCTGTTTTTGCCAATCGCAGAGCAGATGTTGCCGATGGTACACTCCGAAAACTTGGTCATCGAGTTCTTGGCATATGGGTTCATGATGTATTCCGCGTCGGCATTGCAGGTCGACGAACTCAGTGGGCAGCATTGAGATGAGACATCCAACTTATTGGTACAGCCGTCTTGGTCGCAGTCGTGCACTGCTCCAAAGGTGTGACCAGTCTCGTGGGCAAATACCTGCCAGGAGGAACCGGAATTGCGAACTACGACGTTCGCCCCGGTCACAGAGTTCTCTCCGGAGCTAACCAGGTCGGAGGAGCATAGACGACCCATCCATGAAACTCCAACCTCACTACCTGTTGGACAGTTTGTCATCAGGGTCCAGTAGGCATTGTCATCGGAATGAGATGCGCGCCACTTGGAGAATTCATTCAGACGCCAGGTGACATTTCCGCCATTGCAATCCACGTTCCATGGGGTAGCAGTGGAGCCCGAGCTGGCGCAGCCTGTCTCGGAGATTGTGAGATTGCGCAAACCAATGGACACATTGAAAGATTCTTCATAGAGACTTGAAGCCGTGTTTACGACGTTGATGACCCAGTCCCTGGCGGCTTTTTCGGGGGTGGAGTTGGTAGCCATGAACGATTCGGTGAATTCACAATCCGTTGCAATTCCGATCAAAGCGACCTTCTTCGTTTTAGGACATCCGCTGGTATCACCGATGGTCGTTTTCAGATTCACACCGCCAGTGTTGCCCGAGACACCGCCAACATCAGACGAGGACTGTCGCTTGCCCAGTCCGAACATCGAGTTCAACGAGGCAACACCCCACTGACCATCTGTTTCGTCCATGTCATATCCGAAAATCGAATTGGACAGATCAGCATTGTATCCAAGTTGATCGGCACCGCAGCCTTCGGATACGGGAAGCGACCGCTTGAGCTCGGAGTGCGTATAGTGGAACATATCGGAGTCACGGTAGATAATCATCGATTCCCCATCTCTGGGTTCGACGTCGGCATCGACCGGGCGCTTCTTATCGAGGTAGGTCGACTGCAATTCAATATGGTGCTTGTCATTGTTGACACTAAAAGCACCTTCAAAGAGAGGCTCTAGGCCATCCCTTTTAACGGTGATTCTGGCCCAGCCCACGGGCGTCCATCTCCCCTTTCCGGATCCTACCAGGGCGCGACCTTGGAAGACTTTGTGTTCGTGTCGTTTGATGGGTTCGGCATGTTTTATGGTGCCATCGGCGCCGACGTATTGCACGTAAGCGTCCTCGGCCAAGATATCATGATTGGGCTCGAGTTCTAACTTTATGCGCTTGTCGTCTTGGTGTAAAGCAAAGGTGATATCAAAATGTGACAGGTGGTCTATTTGATGTGAAGGAGTACGAATAATGGCATTGTCGACGGGCGTCACCCGTCGAATGGCTTCTGAGGCTTGTGATCGTGCTGGAGATTGTCAGCGGCTAGGCAACGGGGCTAGGCAACGGGGCTAGGCAACGGGGCTAGGCAACTGTGGCTGGGCAACGCTGACTGCAAGTTGATATTTACCTTGTGTTTGTTGAAAGAGCGATGAAAATGCACCGATTAAGGGCAGGATAGTAGAAAACCTCATGGCAAGATCCGAATCTCAGGGTCCTTTCCCCGGTCTATTGGACTAGAGTTTCCAGGGCCCTGAGTGGTAAGGGAAATGTCAGGGTCCACCTAGGGTTTAGGGGAGTTCAAGTAGAGTGGGATATTGAAAAATGTAATATAAAAATATAAAAAAATAAAAAAAGAGGGAATCAACGAAGGACTAGAAACACAAGACAATCCAAAGTGAAAGGGAAAAGGGAAAGAGGGATCAGATAATCCGGGCTCAGCCGTACAGGGCTTCAATGCCAAGGGCTTAGGAATCCCCAAACCAGAGGGCTTGGCAAAAAAGTGGACTGAAACACTTCAGTTCAACGGCATTTTAATATACTCCGTATAGGATGACATTGGTTTACTCTAGATTCTTTAGTGGAGAGACACACCTATTTTTGTTGCAACGTCCAATTATATTGCCTATTAAATGCTTGGCATACGATAGCATCCATGGGTGATACACCGGTTATATATCCAATGTTCAAATTGTACA